AAATAAATGCTGCAACATCTTTGAAGACAACAAACCCAAATCTTTGAAGCCTTGCCATGCCTTCCCCTCCAAAGTGTTGGCAGTACAATGGGGATGTTAAGAGGAAAAAACAAATTCAAAATTCAACATGAAATTGAATGAAACCAAGAGGCAAGACGAGCAACACAACATCACAAACAATGAAAACCATCATTAATGAGCCCACGCAAGAAAAACAAATTTAGTTCAAATCCCATTTGTAGTAATCATTTCACAACACTAAATTCAAATCGAAATTCTCGTTCTTGATAATGAAACAAACTTTGAATTTCGTATTAAACGCACAAGTATATTTCAATCCATACTCAAATGCGGCCAAGAAAACAACATAATAATAAAAAAAACTCATAAATGCAATTTGTGAACAGAACTTGAAAAAGAGAAAAGACGAGGAGCAGAACTCAGGCATCTTTGAAGACAACAAACCCAAATCTGGGTTTCCTCTATTGTAACTAAAATTGCAATTTCAATTCTCATCATTAAATTTCAACACTGTTATAACCAAAATCACAGCAACCAAACTTGCAAAACCCAAATAAATTGGTTCACAACTCCCTCAAGCTCGTGTGACAAAGGAACACAAATCCCATTTTCTTTTGTTCTATGGCACTTTGAGCTCGTGAGGAGGCGTGATTATGTCTCTTGGCTTCTAATCGCCTCAACCTCACATGAGAGAAAAGAGGGAAAGGGAGAGATGGAGATGATTGTAGAGGGGGCGACATTACTGGTGAGCTTTTTGAGTAAGGAGGCAATGGAGATGATTGCAAAAGGGGCAAAGAAGGAGATGGAGATGATTGTCGGAGGAGGCGAGGAGTAGGGGCTGCATTTTTAAGAAAAAAGATGAACAACAGGGCTGGGTTTTAGAGAGGAAAATGACATAGTTTGGTTTGGGACTCCAATTTTTGGGAGGTAAGACTGACGCCCACTTTTCTATATATATATATAATTCCTGTAGTAAATTCTTCCATACTTTTATATAAGTCCGAGACCCTTGCATTTAGGGTTGTAAGTGAGACAAATAACTCCTAAGGTGCTCAGTTGGAGCTCTTAATACTATTTAAATCCAGTTCGAGCTTGTTCTTGAGTTTGATAAAAATTTGTAACTCAATAATTTTAGAACTTACAATTGTGACTTAAACTAAAAAAATATAGTTGAGTTAAAATTTGAGTGCTTTTATACTTAATTTTAGAATTATTATGTTGTAATAAACTCAAGAAGTGAAAAAATAAAACCAAGAAAACTTTAATACGGTTTCATTGCGTATTTGGAAGGCTTGGGAGATTCATCTAAGACTCCATGGTTGCTGAAGATGCTATACTCTAGAAGGTTTGAATTTACATATGGATAGTTGTAAGCGAAGAGATTAGTGAAGGTTTATTATTTGGATATTTATGGAAAAAAAAAAAAACAAATACTGTAAGTGTACAAGAAAATGTATTGATATGAGCATGTTAATTCATTGAAGATTTGTCAATCCATGCAACAATGAAACGTTGATGATAAAAAGCATGCTGGCCGTGTCTTTGATAAAACTAAAATGAATTGAAAATGCTACCTTCGTGATAAACTAACCTCTATTTTTTTTTCATTGCTTTTAGATTGTGCAAGATATCTTTAATTTCTGCTAGCATTTTTGAAGCTAAAAACAACTTTTAAAAATAGTGAGAAGCACTTTATGAAAAATTTTGTTTGAATCGATTTCAAATATTTGTAACAGAAATCATGTTAGAAATTGGGTGAAACACATTAATTAATGAATTTGGTGTATTTGGATTTGGCATCAAATTGGATATTTAAAAGGGCATTAATATTGGGATAATTTTTTATATAATAATTTTTTATGTAATTTTCATGTACTATTAAATATATAAATTTATATAATATCACAGGTTTTAAAAGAGTAAAAATAATCAATAATTAAATGACATATAAGAATGTATAAAAAAATTATACAAAAAAATTATCTTTTAATTATGAAAATAGTAAAAGATAGATCTTTCTTCTATATCTTTCTTAATCTTTTGGTTAAGATCAAGTGTAGTACTTGTTCTTATTAGTTTGTCCTTCTAAATTTTTTTAAAAAAAACTTGTTTAAAAACTCACATTTTAATTAATATTTTTCAAAAATTAATTATTGGACTAAAAGTTTTATATTTGTAGATTATACAGATCAATTTTTATATTAATCTAATTATACTTGTAATCTTTTAATCAAATAAACTCTATTTGCTAATACATATTTAACAATATTAAATTTCTTATAATCAACAAAGTGATTAAGTTTACTATAATAATTTGAAAATTTTTTGCTT